AGGTACTGACTGATTCCTTGCAGTTTCTCCATTGATGGATTGGTAGAAACGTTTCTGATTGGATTGAAATTGGAGGTTCTGCCTATAGTTTGCAATTCGAGCTTCATATCTACTGATTTTCCTGGCTATAGCTGTTATTTGTTGCTTTATTATTTCCAGTGCTTCCTTGATCTTCCTTGTTTCTAAGTGGTATTTCTTGATTAGGTATTCTTTGGTCTTCTTGTTCTTCAGCTTCTTTTCTTTCATCTGTTCTAGCTTGCTTGCATGTGATCTTAACTTGCTGATCTTATTTTCTAGTCTAACCTTCCATTTTTCTGGTGCACTGTTTGTTTGTTTTTCTTCTTTTGTTGATTTTGCATCCCAGGTATTCTGTTATAACTGCAGCTGTGCTGTACATTAGTTGGTTTGTTTCTTGCAATGAATTGGTGCTTATACTTGATATTGCAATATTTGCATCTTTTAATGCTTGTGCTAGCTGTTTCTTTGGAACAAGCTTCAATGCAGGTAGCCTTATTCTGTTGTTTTTGTGCTGTTCTAGATGCTCAGTTATTCTTTGTTTCAATTCTTTTATTTCTTTAGTTAGAGGGTTTTGTTCTTCCTGAGGTAGAGGTGCCTGGTTTCCAAATGAGAACAGTTGTATATCTCTGCTAGATTCCTTCACTGCCAACTCCCCCTGGTTTGCCTCTACATTCTGAATTACTTCTGGTAAGGCTTTGATTTCTTTGCCCTGGGTAAACCTTTGCAGTTCGTCCAATTCTGTTTCTGTGAATATTTTATTTCGTGTTATAAATCGGCGTTGATCTGCTAGTCTCTGTTCTGTTATTTCTGATTCTGGATGTTGTTCTTTCCAGAACTGGTGCATTCGTTTTAGATATCCTCTTCTTGTTGGACTTGATCTGTAGTAACAGATCATTATTTCTTTGTTTTCCATCACTGTGTATCTGCGACGGGTAAACACCTTTTCTTCCAGTAGTTCTGCAGCTGCTGGCCCTGGTTGCTCAGCCAACAGTCCTGAGTCCTGTAACCCATTTTTCACCAGATATCCAGGAACTCCAATATCTAGTGCGGACCTTGTTAACCCGGGCGACGTCCGAGCCGGTATGGCATTCTGAAATTTACGTCTCACCATATTTTTTATGGGAGAGACACTCTTTGTCTGACTCCTCTGATGAGACCTGTCCAGTATGGTTGAACCTCTAGCATAGCTCTCATCTTCCTCAGAGTACACAAGCCCCACAACCATTATTATTATTATTATTATTATTATTATTATTATTATTATTATTATCTCATCGCACAGTCAGCCAGATGTTCAGACTGGATTTGGCATTTTGTCTACCTATCGAGTCCTTACCCAGGACCTGGGATAGGCAGATGTGGCTGTTTGATGGTATTACAGATATCGTCGCAGGATGGAAGCAGTTCCTAGTAAGGCTGCCTTTTGCAATTGACTAATAGCGAATTTGTCAATGCCGATGATGGTGTCCAAGTGGTGCTCCAGTTGTTTTGGGATTGCACCCAAGGAGCCTATGACTATTGGTACTACCCTTGCTTGCTTTTGCTACAGTCTTTCTATTTCTATTTGTAGGTCTTTGTATTTTGTTATCTTCTCCAGTTCTTTCTCATCTATTCTGCTGTCTCCAGGCACTGCCACGTCCACTATCCAGACTTTTTTGTCTTTATCGACAATTGTTAAGTCTGGGGTGTTGTTGTTGCTGTTGTTGTTGTTGTTGTTATTATTATTATTATTATTATTATTATTATTATATTATATTATATTATATGGGACTACAAACATATTTGACAGCTAAATTCCAACGCACATCGGAATACCCCAGAAATAGAAATAGTTGAAATTGGAAACCGGGTTCTTTGCAAGCACAGCCACCAACGTGCAAAGACTTGATCTTTCTGTCAGACTGAAAAGTTATTTCTCAGTTTTCAATTCAGATTGTGAAGCGAACTGCCTTGAAGAATTCATATTTTACTTATGTTTTACTCGGGTCAAGCAACATGGCACCAGACAGAGTTCAAAGTTGCACGTTAGCAGAATTAAAACAGGGTTGGATAATTGGTGATTCACTGTGGAAACCCACTGCACAGCTTAGTACACGTAGTCCTCGACTTACAGCCACAATGGAGCCCAAAATTTATGTTGCTAAGTGAGACATTTGTTAAGTGAGTTTTGCCCCATTTTGTGATTTTTTTCTTGCCACATTTGTTAAGTGAATCACTGTAGTTGTTAAGTTAGTCACACGGTTGTTAAGTGAATCTGGCTTCCCCGTTGATTTTGGTTGTCAGAAGGTCGCAAAAGGGGATCACGGGACTCCCCCCCCCGGGGACATTGCGACTGTCATAAACGTGAACCAAACATATTTTAATACTTTTTTTTTTTAAAAAAAGCAAATCTCCCACTCTGTGCTTGTGGCAAAGGCAAAATTCTTCTGTTCTCTCCACCCCCCTTTTGCAGCTCATATATAACTCGACTCGGATCCAAGATGCAAAATAACAAGAGTTGGAAGGGACCTCGGAGGTCATCTAGTCCAACCCCCTGCCCAAGCGGGAGGCCCTATTCCATTCCGGACACAGGGTTGTCGAATCTCTTCTTAAAAACCTTCCATGATGGAGCACCCACAACTGTTAACCCTGGTTTCTCCAGATTTGTGAATGGTCAGATTAAAAATGGCTGCATTTGCATGGCTAATGCATGGGATGCTCCCTTTTGCACCCGTGTTTAGAAACCATGTATCCCAACAGCTCGTTCCCTACACTACGATCCCAGTTTTCTAGGTTCACAAGACACACTCAAGAGCCCAATCCAGGAGGATCTTTGTGGCTCAGGTTTGCAATGAGGGGCCCTTGGTGCTCTCTGAGCTGGGTGGTTTTCTTGCAGACATTTCATTACCCAAGTAGGTAACAGCATCAGCTGTAGAAAGGAGTGGGGTTTGCAGAATGGAGGACGAGGAGGTGGAGGAGGAAGGAAGGAAGGAAGGAAGGAAGGAAGGAAGGAAGGAAGGAAGGAAGGAAGGAAGGCAGGCAGGCAGGCAGGCAGGCAGGAAGGAAGGAAGGAAGGAAGGACTGAGTGGTTCTTGGTGCTCCAAGCTGGGTTATTTTCTTGCAGACGTTTCATTAACCAAACTAGGTAACATCATCAGTGCTAGTAGGGAGTGGGGATGGTGGAGAAGAGGAGGAGGAGGAGGAGGGGTGTGTGGAAGAGGAAGGGGAGGAGGAGGACTGTGGGGTCTTTGTTACTCTCTGAGCTGAATTATTTTCTTGCAGACATGTCATTAACCAAACATCATCAGTTCTAGTAGAGAGTAGAGTGGTGGTGGTGGTGAGCAAGAGGAAGAGGAGGAGGAGGAGGAGGAAGAAGAGGAGGAGGAAGAGGAGAAGGAGGACTATGCAGTCTTTGGTGCTCCCTGAGCTGGGTTATTTTCTTGCAGACGTTTCAATAACCAAACTAGGTAACATCATCCATGCTCCTGATGATGATGCAGCACGATGGTATTTATTACCTAGCTAGTTTGTTTAACGAAGCGTCTGCAAAGAAATCTTCCAAGGTCAGAGAGCGCCAGGAATCCCCACTCTCAAGATCTGGATGGATGCACCAGGCTAAGGGCTAAAATGCAGGTCGCTGGCTTAGGAATTGCGTGCATCGTGAGAACCCGGCCCCAGAATCTCCGCTTGGAAGCAACGCCGCCCGGGATGCGGAGATCCCGGTTCTCCACCCCGACATCAAAGCGGACAGTTGCTTTGGACTCCAGACTACAACTCCCAGCAGGCTTTGCTCTCCCGGCTGGCGGAGCAGCGAAGGCGAAGCCCGCCTCCCTCTCCTTGGAGGGGGCAGTGGGGGACGATGGGAGCTGTAGTTCCAAGAAGCCGCCTGGGCACGACAGCCGAGACCGGGTCGCTTCGATGCGTTTATAACCGCTCTTGGGAATAAACACTCTTATTCCGTGGCAGCAGTTTTTGCAGGGCGTCGAAGAGCCCTTTCGACACGTGTGTGCAAAGAGCCCTTTCAGACGTGCGCGAAGCGACTGGCGTTAATCTTATCTGCGGTAGCTTGGCGCACGTCTGAAAGGGCTCTTTGCATGCACATATCGCGACGACTGCGGGAGGAAGGCGCATCCGTCTTGCAATTTACCCATCGGCCCCATCATCCGCAGCCAGCAGGGATGTCTTTGTTTAGTCTTGATTTTATTCATCCCGCCGCTTCTGGCTATCTTACACGCAAGAAATATCGGGAGGGGAAAAAAAGGGGGATCGTGGTTAAGCAGATCTTGGCTGGTGGAGAAATAGATGGGCTCGGGGTGGAGGTTTGGGCTGCGGCTCCCATCATCCCCAGCCAACTCGGAGAAGGATGGGCGATGATGGTGGTCAGGTCTATCGAGGAAGGCAATGGGGTGGTGGTGGTGAATAGAAGGGAGTCCGTATTGGCCCTGTTCTCACAACATCGTCGGGACTGATGGAACCGCGCTTTACTCCCCCCCCCACCAATTTTCTATGTTCCCATCCCAATTTTTTTTTATTCCCACGTTACAGCAAACCGCACCCCTGCTTTGGCTAAATCCGCACAAGACGGGTTAAAATGTGGCCATTTGGAGAGTGGGACCGCATTCACACGTGACACGGAACCCGCTTATCTAAAAACCCACTTTGGGGGTCGGCTGCATTCCCATAACACGCGGAGCCGCAAACCCGTGAAGAACGCTGGCCAAAGTAATCTGAAATGCTATTAGGTCTCCTGCTTGAGCAGGGGGCTGGACTAGACGACCTCCCAGGTCCCTTTCCAGCTCTATTCTATTCAAATTCTCCCGATCTCAAACTCCGATCCAGCCGTTGACCGCCGAGCCGCTCGGAGACCCAGTCCCACTACAACTCCCAACATGCCCCGCGCAGGCTTCCTGCCCACCAAGCAGGAAGTAGGAGGACGAGGCAGCCGGCTGCCTACCATCCCCGGCATGCCTCGCGGCCGGCTGGTCGCTGACGTCGGCTCATTCCGGCCGCGCGCGGCCTGCCGGGAGCTGTAGTTCGTCTCGGTAACGGTTCGCCCAGCGGCGGCAGCAGCAGAAGCAGCTGCTGGAGGTCCGGGTCTTCCCTTCAGTCGGGCGGCGGCGCTTCTCCCCTTCGCACCGCAGCGGCCTGCTCGCTCGCCCCGCCGCCCCCGCGCCGCTCCCGAGGGGAGGCTGGAGCCGAGGACCGGGCGGCCGGACGGAGACCGAGACGGCGCCCAGCCCCGCAGGTGGGGGAGGGGGGGGCGCCGAGGGGGGAAGGGGGAGGGAGAGGGGGGGGCAAGAGGGGGATCGACCCCCCCTCTTTTCATGGGTGGGGTCCCAAATTTGGGGGCGGCTGGCGCGGAGACACGCGGGTCAGCGCTTGCTCGTGTGAACGGGGAGGGGACAGCCGACCCGGGTTGGGCCCCCTTCTTGGGAACCGACGGGGATTGCAGCCTCCCGGGTGGCGCTTGACCTTGAGGGGGCGCCGCCTTTTGATTTGCCTCGCGGTGTGTGTGTGTGTTTGTGTGCAATGCACGGGTGGGGGGTGGGGTGGGTGAGCAGCCCCACGTCGGAAGGTTTGGCAAGCCGCTGCCCGTGCAAAGGTGCCTCGACCCCCGCGACGCTTTTTTGCAGCAAGCAGGAAAGGGGCTGGCGTCGGAAAAGCTGCAACCCACACATGCACGTACGCACACACACACAGACGCATGCACATGCACGCGGCAACTGCCCGAGAGGTGCATGTGAGAGACAAGCAGAAGTACATGCATGCACATGCGCGCTGCTGAATTGTGCATGAGACATGCACACACACACACACACACAGAGGTTAAGCCGAAGCTGTACCTGTGGTGCGAGTGTGGCATGAATGCAGCTGGGCATTGATGCGCGTGATGTGCAATCACCCCTTTTGCAAAAGGCCAGCCTTTCCCCCCCCCCTCCGGCCTTCGCCTGTGGGTAGCCCCACGCATTTGAGAAGGGGGGGGGTATGTGTTTCTGGTGGACCCGGATCGCTGGCAAGAAAGAGGTTGTGTGAAGGGAGCATGCCGGGAGCCAGGACCGATTTTGCAAAAATCAGTGCACGGTTTTGGATGCCTTTGCAAGGCGTTCTTGGCTCTGAGCCGCTGTGGGGGGGGGGGCGTGGAAGCTGATGGGGGGGGGTACAGGAGCAAACCTCGACTTACCCAGCATTTCAAAAGACCCTGATGTTAATCTAAGTTCTATGCCTGGCTGCTAAAATCAGACCTGCGAGCATGTAAAGAAATAGCCACAACAGCAGATGGCATGCTTAGATGTGCAGCATCCTTCTTCAAAGAGAAGTGTGTGTTTTTTAGGGGGGGGGCAGGCAGGGGTAACCCCGTTTGATTCAGATCTTTGATATGGTGGATCAGGAGAGGGTTTGCAAAAGGGGCACCAACGGGGGGACGGTGGCAGAAATATATTATGGGAGGGGTAAAAGGGATGCTAAGCTAGCTCAATTCACAGAGGAAATCATGCATTTGAATTCAGAATATACTGGGGGAACTTTATCGCTACCCACTCGGAAGTCATGCACAAATATGTACATAGTTTGGGGCCTGTGGGTATTACATACCCATCACGGGGGCACAGACCCCCATCTAGCAAGAGCTGTGGAGGGAGTCAGATGGTGGGTGCAAACTTGCCCTTTGCCCCTTAGGGCCTGGTGGGTGAAATTTACACCCCCACCCAAAAAAAAAAAACCCCTGCCTTGTGGAATTTACAATGGCCGAAATATACTGCAGCATCCCTTCAGTGAGGATTGCTTGAGGGTCATAGTTGCAGAAATACTTCTTAAACTGAGATTTTGTAAAGGAAAGAATTTAGATAGGTTAATTTTTATGTAAAAGGTGCTATTCATAACAAGTCTTCTGAAAATATTCTGTGAAAAATATACTATGCACAATACATACAAAAACAAAGGATTAGCTTTAAAGAAATTGAGAATGACGCTTCGGTTTTGGTGCACAGTTTATTTGTCTGAAATGGTATATAGGGTTCCCTGACTGAGCAGGGGGTTGGACTAGAAGACCTCCAAGGTCCCTTCCAACTCTGTTATTCTATTCTATTCTATTCTATTCTATTCTATTCTATTCTATTCTATAATCTGTCTATTCTATTCTGTTCTGTATTTTTATTCTAGTCTGTGCTGTGCTGTTCTATTCTGTATTTCTATTCTGTTCTGTTCCATTCCATATATTCTATTTCTATTCTGTTCTGCATTCCTATTCTATTATGTTCTGTTCTGTTCTATTCTATTCTGCAATCTGTCTATTCTATTTTGTTCTGTATTTTTATTCTAGTCTGTGCTGTGCTGTTCTATTCTTTATTTCTATTCTATTCTGTTCCATTCCATGTATTCTATTTCTATTTTTATTCTATTCTGCATTCTTATTCCTATTCTATTCTATTCCATTCCATTCCATTCTACAATCTGTCTATTCTATTCTGTTCTGTTCTGTATTTTTATTCTAGTCTGTGCTGTGCTGTTCTATTCTGTATTTCTATTCTGTTCCATTCCATGTATTCTATTTCTATTTTTATTCTATTCTGCATTCTTATTCTATTCTGTTCTATTCTATTCTATTCTATTCTATAATCTGTCTATTCTATTCTGTTCTGTATTTTTATTCTAGTCTGTGCTGTGCTGTTCTATTCTGTATTTCTATTCTGTTCTGTTCCATTCCATAGATTCTATTTCTATTCTATTCTGCATTCCTATTCTATTCTGTTCTGTTCTGTTCTATTCTGCAATCTGTCTATTCTATTCTGTATTTTCATTCTAGTCTGTGCTGTGCTGTTCTATTCTGTATTTCTATTCTATTCTGTTCCATTCCATGTATTCTATTTCTATTTTTATTCTATTCTGCATTCTTATTCCTATTCTATTCTATTCTATTCCATTCCATTCCATTCCATTCCATTCCATTCCATTCTACAATCTGTCTATTCTATTCTGTTCTGTTCTGTATTTTTATTCTAGTCTGTGCTGTGCTGCTCTATTCTGTATTTCTATTCTGTTCCATTCCATGTATTCTATTTCTATTTTTATTCTATTCTGCATTCTTATTCCTATTCTGTTCTATTCTATTCTATTTTTGCGCAATAGGTAAGCCAAATTGGACGTTATATGGCTGGCGGAAAATGTGGATAGACAGGTTGTAAGCTGAGGGCCCTATACTGATCCAGTATGTGATTATTATTTTTTTCATACAAATGATGCTGTGCTTCAAGGGTTAGATAGCCTACACACCGGTCTCTGAGGAATACAGGTCCTTTTATCCTTCATATTTTATTGTGTGGGTTTTTTTTTAAATCTAGGTGAAATGTTAATATACATTGCAAGTCCCTGTATGATATGCCGTACGCTAAATAAATCAACGCGTACATGAATACAAAAGTCAGGGCGCGTCCGGAAAATTTCAATGCAGTGCTTGTTGAATTGGGCGAGAAACTCATTTGGGGCTATGCAATTTTGGGGGTGGTGGTGAATAAGTGTCTGGATTGTGGTTGCGGACCACCCTAATGGGGCTTCCTCCATTTGCTGGAACGCAAGGTTTTTAAAATGACTGGCGGCGATTGAGGATGCCACCACCACGAGCACCCCGCAGTCGGAGAGCAAATCCAACGGGCACCCAATAAATGCATTAATTTTTCTATCAAGAGCAGAGAGGACGGTGCAGGGAAAGACATCCTTCCCGCAAACACACACACACACACCCCTTTAAAAATGACTGCTTTAAGAGTTCATTTATTGGGATTGCAATAATAGAGGGTAATTAAGCTTATTATTGTCACGTGGATTAATAGTGCCGGAGTCAATCTGGCCCTGCATTCTTCTGAGCAAACAGAGGTGTCGTGAAAGGCTCAATTCATTGGCAAAAGGTGTGTTTTTTTCTCTCTGCCCCCCCCCTTCCCCCCATTTTTTTCTATTAGCTGTTCGCTCTGCCCTCCATGCCAGTTTGGCGATAAGCATTCAGGTTAAAGCTCGTATATCCTGTTGATTGAATTTCGCCCAGAAGGAATTCAGCCGGTGCTCAAAAGTGTCAAAGGGGGGGGGAGAGAGAGCAGGGGGTTTTTATTTGAGGTCCCCCCCCCTTCCTTTCTCTCCCTTCAGACAAAGGCAAGGAAGAAAGGAAATTGGTATTATCCATTTTGTGCCCGTAAGCGGAATATGATCTTCGGAGGTGGGTGGGCGCTGCGAATTCTTCCCCCCTGGAAATTCTGGTGGAGGGGAAAAAAAAAAAAAAAGGCTGGACCGGTTTCAAGGTAGCTTTGATAAGGGAAACATCTTGCTGTTTTTTGAGATTGTCTCCACTGCAGGGGGTCTGGTGGAATTGGGAAGTTGCTGATGATTAAAGGAGGGTCTGGATAGAAGCAGAGGGGAGTGGGATTAGAGACGGGGGCCCAGTCTCCCCCCCCCGTTGAAACCATTCTGCCACTAAAAAGCGTCCTTTCCGTTTAATTAATTTTTTTTTTTCGTTTTAGCGCTTTTAATGTTGGGAGCTGCCCAGATTTGCCGTGGGGCGGCATGGGTGATAGACGGATGGATGGATATAGATACTGATGAATGGATAGATGGATAAGGAAGGAAGATAGGAAAGGAGGGAGGGAGGAAGGGAGGAAGGAAGGTTGGTTGGTTGGTTGATTGAGAGAGAGGGATGGATGGATGGATAGATAGATATAGATACTGATGAATGGATAGATAGATGAGAAGGAAGAAAGGTTGATGATGGAGAGGATGGATGGATAGATATATGGATGGATGGATTGATAAGATAAGCAGGCAAGCAGGTAGGTAGGTTGATGATAGAGAGGGATGGATGGATGGATAGATATATGGATGGATGGGTGGATAGATATAGATACTGATGAATGAATAGATAGATCAGTGGTTCTCAACCTGTGGGTCGGGACCCCATTTGGGGTCGAACGACCATTTCACGGGGGTCGCCAAACAACGCAGTCCGCCATTTCCCCCCCTTTTCCTTAGCTGTGCTACTCCCTTTTATTCTATTGGCTTTTGAAAGCCAATAGAATAGACTCTCTTGAACAGAGTCTAATTCTATTGGCTTTCAAAAGCCAATAGGAATTGTCCAGGCTGTCTCTGCCCTGCTGAGCCCGCCAAAAGTCCCATTCTGTAAATGGTGCTGCACCAGTTGAGTAGTCCTCGACTTACGACCAGTTGAATAGTCCTCGACTTACGACCGGTTGGGGATCGCGGCATTAA